ACATTAAAAAAAAAAAAAAAAGAAAAGAAAGAAACGAAAAACAAACAAAACTCCCTAAATTAAAAATAGTCTTAATTACCATACAATCTAGCAATTCCACTTCTAGGTATAAACCACACAAAAGAAATTCACACAGACTGGGGATGTAGCTCAATGCTACCTAGCATGCACAAAGCTCTGAGTTCAGCACACATAAAAAGAAATGAACACAGGATCTTGAAGGAATATGTGTATACCCATGTTCATAGCAGCATTAGTAACAACAGCTAAAATGTAAAAGCAACCCAAGCATATATACCTACAATGTGGTATATATCTATAATGTTATCCAGCCTTAAAAAGAAAGAAAATGCAGCCTTTTGTTACAACATTAATGAACCTTGAGGGCATTATTCTAAGTGAAAAAAGTCAGTCACCAAAAGACAAATCTTGTATGAGTTTACACTTGAGCAGCCAAAGCCACAAAGACCAAAGTAAAATGGTTACTAGGGGCTAAGGAGAGGGAGGAATGAGAAGTTACTGTTTAATGGGTACAGTTTCAGTTTTACAAGATGAAAAGAGTTGTAGAAGTGAATGGTGGTGATGGTTGCACAACACTGTATTTAACATTGCTGAACTATATGCTTAATCATTGTTAAAGATGGCAAATTTTATAAGTGCAAAACACAATATTAAAAATTGGAGGGGGAAAGTGTGTCATGTGTAAGACATAATGTTTAGCATTGCAATAAGAAGTCAGGAGGGGCTGGGGATGTGGCTCAAGCCATAGCGCGCTCGCCTGTCATGCGTGCGGCCGGGGTTCGATCCTCAGCACCACATACAAAAGGAAGATGTTGTGTCCGCCGATGACTAAAAAATAAATATTAAAAAAAAAAATTCTCTCTCTCTCTCTCTCTCCCTCTCCCTCTCTCTTTAAAAAAAAAAAAAAAAAGTCAGGAGCTTAACTGTCCCATTGGTATGTGAGACAAAATGAATTAATTTAAACAAAGAACAAGGAAAAAAAAACACCAAAAAGCTTTGTAGATGTACTCAAGTGACTAAAAGAAACTAAAATGAAAGCCCAAAATAAATTAAATAAGTTAAATCAGATCTGGTCCTCTCTCCTTATCAATGTATAGGACATTCCCTGCTTCCCTCTTGTCTCCAAAATAAAACAAATCCACATCCCACGCAACTTTTGGGGGCTAAGTTTATGCATAAGCTTATTGATTATGGACAGGAGTGTTGAAAATATTTTCAGACAAACAGTAGAGATGAAACAGAATTAGGATGTCTTTTTATGTATAAAAAAGGTGGATAATATCACCAACGTTCTTGTTACCATAAGCATAGACAAAAGGGAATGAAATGGAACAAACAGAAAAACTAACTAAAATGTTGATTAGTGGAAATGAAGGTCAAGGTCTGCTGTTTTTGTGAGCTCTCATTTTATCTCTATGCTCATGTCCTTTTGATTAATCTAAAAACAAAAACAAAAACAAAAACAAAACAAAACAACAACAAAAACCCAGCCAGAAAACCTGCCAGAAAAAGTTGCCGGGCTTTTCAGTCACTCTTCTGCATCACCTTCATAGGCTTTGGACATGCTGTGTCACTGAACATATCTGACTTCAGAAAAATACCCAAAATAATGGAAAATGAGTTTCTTTACGATCACAGGATAAACATACAAATATGTTCTAAATAAAAGGTCAAGATCCAAAAACTATTTTATTTTTATCATTTTTCAAAGAAACAACTTTAAAAAAATTAGAACTGAGTATTAGATCTAAGAGCCAATAATCTTACTTTAATAACAGTAAAAAAGGTAATGTGGCGGCAGCAGCTCCTGTTTACTAAGAGCTTATTCAGCACTGGGGACAGGGTGCTTTATGAACTTCTCATTTAATCATCATCATAATCCTCCAGGTTTGATAATGCACAACCATAAACGAGTCTATCTAGGATTACTCATACATTACATTTTTCTTTGAAACAAAGAATTTTACACACACACACACACACACACACACACACACACTTAGAAAAATAACTAATGAATGGGGGGAGGAGAATGGGAGATGACTTTGAAACATCCTTATTTTTAAAAAATTAAGCATTACATATGTATACTTCGCATGCATGTGCATACAAACACACAAAGAAATTATTTTCAGAGTTGCTACAGAGAGCAGATTTTAATAGATTTATAATTCTAGTAAGTTCCTAAAATAGCTCTTGTGGTTGATGCAGTTTTCTCTGTATTTAAGTGGATTAGCCTAAAGTCATTACTGCACAAAATGATACTAATCACTTTAATTCCAATTAAAGGGACATGTAGGACCATTATAGACAAAGAGCTAAGTCAGCAGCAACCTCAATTTTCCAGGAAAGCCTTTGAGAAATATTCATAATCTTGTCTGTGGCTCGTATTTTACAGTGAAGTCTAGATTTTTATCAAAGCAACTTTTAAAATAAAGGCATGTTTAAAGAAAAAAGGAAACATCACAAAGAAAAAGAAGTAGTCTTTTTAAAAAATTTGATTTTAGTGGCTGGGGGTGTAGCTGAGAGCTGAAGTGCTTACCTAACATGTTCAAGGCCCTGGGTTTGATCCCCAGAACTGTAAAAACCAATATTTGATTTAAAAAAAATTATGAAATTATGTTCTCTTTTGACAAATATTGTGCTGTTATTAGATATTAAATTCATTCTACAGAGAAATCCTTACCAATATATTTTTAACTAGCATAACAATTAGTATCAAAATTCTTTCCCCTCACATCCTTAACTTATATCTGATTCCCCCCCCCAAAAAAGAAAGTCCATTTACTTGAGTTTATGTCAATTTTCTTTTAATATTAGTGTTTACAGTTTAGATTTCTAGTGTCTCTGAAGTATGAAAAAATTACAGTGGGTGAAAATGGTTTATAAAAATATTTTTAGGATATGATTTATTGCAGTTAACCTGATTATTTATTTGTTTAATTTTTCTGGTACTGGGGATTGAAGCAAGGGATGCTTTTACCACTGAGCCACATTCCCAGCCTTATTTTATTTTATTTTGAGACAGGGTCTCACTTAAGTTACTTAGGGTCTCTATAAGTTTCTGAGGCTGACCTCAAATTTAAGATTCTCTACCTCACCCTCCTGAGTCACTGGGATTACAGATGTGTGCCACCACACCCAACAACCTGATTAATTTTTAAGGGCACAATTTTAAGAAAGTTGAAAGAATGATCTATAGCTGCAGAAAAAATAATATGCTTTTTTTTCCAAATATTTATTTTTTAGTTATAGTTGGGCACAATACCTTTATTTCCAACTACAATAAATTATTATTTATTTTTATGTGGTGCTAAGAATGGAACCCAGGGTCCCATAAGTACAAGGCAAGCACTCTGCCGCTGAGTCAAAAACCCTAGTCCAAGAATATGCTTTTTAATCATGAAGAAAATAATATTTTGAAAGCTCATAGAGCAGAGACTAAAGATAATATACCTACAAACTCAGTTCAATGTTAAATAATATACCTGCCAAACATAACTAAAATAATATAAATTTGACTGAAAAATAACAAGGGTATGTTTTATTTGTATTCTGGTTGTTTCTATGCAGTTTTTAATTGAGCCATATTTTGAAAAATGGAACTTTAAGTGCTTAAAAAGTAGAAAATAAAATTTTAAGTGCTCAAAAGAGGAACCCATGTTAATTTCTTCATGAATCAGTTAATACCAAAGTTGTTTCTTTGAAAACCTGAATATATCTTTATTACTTAAATTACTATTTGTAAAAAAAAGTATATATTAAAAAATGAATACCATTCATATTCTTATAAAGTACAAATAGTCTTATGATAAAGTATGAAGTCCTGTTGCTACAAATTTGATCTCGAATAGAAAATAAGAAAACTAGAAAATGCATTAATTCTGACTTAAGTTTTTCTCAGAGAAAATACACGCATATATATGTATTTTTTCCCAGTGCTAGAGATGGAACACAGGCCTTGTACATGCTAGGAAAGTACTTTATCTCTGAGCTATATCACCAGACCCAGAGAATAATAAATTTTAACATCAGCCTATTAATTTTCTAACAGATAAGCCACAAAATTTTTAACTATTTTAATATATTTTAATACTAGACATTGTGACCCTATTTTTATAAATTATTTTAAAAATTATCAATGCTTAAATATATGTCATTTTAAGAGAAATGTTCTTGAAATGAAATTAATACAAGTATTACTCGAGTGTTGTAATTAAAAGCCAGGGTTAAATCCTAGCTCTTTCACTTATTAGGACTGCCATCTTGGAGAAATTAATTACTTGATCTCTCTATGCTTCAGTTTCCTCATTTATTGAAACGTGAAGATAGTAGTTCCTCACTCATAAGGTTGGTATGATGATTAAAAGTAGTTAATTGGGCTGGGGATGTGGCTCAAGCAGTAGTGCACTCGTCTGGCATGTGCGGGGCGCTGAGTTTGATCCTCAGCACCACATAAAAATAAAATAAAGATGTTCTGTCCACCAAAAGCTAAAAAATAAATATTAAAAAATTCTCTCTCAAAAAAAAAAAGTAATTAATCTTGTGTGTGTGCACGGGCACATACGCGGTGATTGGGGACCAAACCTAGGATCTGACACATGCTAGGTAAGTGCTCTACCACTGATCTACATCATGATCCTAGAAGTTAATCTTAAACAGCACTCAGAACAATGCCATACAAAAAAAAGTATTCAATAACCTGTATGATATGATTATTACTGGTTGTTCTGGGGCTTATGATAGAACACAACAAAATGTCAAATTCTCTTCTCTTGCTGGATTTTAACATAATGAAGTCAAAGAAGACAGAATGAAAATTTCTCATCAGGAAGTTGTTACAATTTCTGACCTACCAGTAACCTGATTTACTATAACATTTCCATTTTCTTGTGCTTATAATGAATGAAATTAAATGCATTAAAAAAACAAGATCTAATGATACCCTTCACTGAGATATCAATACAAAGGTTACCCACCTGTGCAACTCTTCTGTTTTGTCTTCAGTTGGACCTACGATTAGTAAACAGTGGCGAAGGACAGCTGCCATGACACGGAATTGATGAGAGTCACTCTATGGTCAAAAAAGAAAAGGAGAGGCAAAATTGGGAGATGAATGCCTTAAGGAAAAAGTCCAGTACATTACTATAATACCTGTTCCTCCAAACCTTCTTACACTATACAGGGAGACAGCAGAATACTCTAGAAAAAATTCCCAAGGCACTACTAAGTAAATAGTCACTATCTTATTTCAACAACTCCAACCACTTCCAGCAATGGCTGACACCAGTGAGTTTCTGATCTAGCCACTCTGTTTTACCTTTGATGAAGATTCAATTCTACTCATTTTGTTTTATTTTTCCATTTTCTGAAAGTCAAGATTCTTTCATTCTCTGGTGAACTGCTCCAATTCACTAATCATTATCAAAGTTTAAATTGGAATAGTTATTTTGAGTTGGTTGTACATCCTTAATAAAAAATGTCTGCTCTCTTGACTTTCAAAAATAGTTCATCAACTTCATTTTGATCTATCCTCTTAATCTCCCAGTTCCTACAAAACTACCAGAAAGTGAGTCAAAAAAAAGTGATCTGAGTTTATCTCCTCCTACTTTGCCAAAAACACCCGTTGGCAATGGTATTAAAGAAACAATCATCTGCATCAAGGTCCTATCTCTTAAGAAATTAATATGACACAGGAAATTAGAGATAATTAAGTTAGAGATCCTGGATATGCCATACTTCAGAAAGCTCTAAACACTTGAAATACTGTTAAAATTTTCAAAAATTTCTTAGCATATACCTGATTTCAAGTCCATGTAAAGTGAAGTATATCTCACTCACACAAACACACACACACACACACACACATACATATACTATATACATACATATACAAACACATACACACACGCCCTGTAAGGGAGATGTCTCTCATCTAGCATACAGGGTAAACTTTCATTACTTATGTGGGTGATAATATTTTAAAAACATGTACATTTACAAGAGATGAAGGTATTAATGGAAAAAGTACTGGATGTGGAGTCAGAAGCCTACGTTATGACCTAAAACAATTCATACAGCTTCCTGAACCTTGGTTTTCCCACATGCATCTCCACAAACATAAGGCTCTTAGGATTAAGTTAAAGAAAATGTCATGCATAAAAATGCTTTAAAACTTTCAATAAAATATGTGAGGGTGTGGGGAAAGAAGTCAAAGAGTGAGACTGTGAAGTGATAAACAACTGTGTGGGTAGGAAGAGAGGGAAAAGAGAAAGAGGGACCAGTGGAATGCCAGAGGCACTGAGACTGCAGGGTTCATCATCCATCCCCAAATGCTTGGGTGAAAATTCTCTCATATGTAAATATACTTTCACTTACCACAAATTACATGAGGTATACTAAAACCCATGCCAAACTCAACTATTACTTAACTCTTGATAAGGTCACATTTTCCTTGGTTTTGAAAATTAACTGGGGGATCTACTTCCTTTTGTTCTATATATAACACTCTTTCTCTTCTCATGCTGATGATGAAAAGCCTCCTGCAAAAGTATCTATTGTGGTCTTTCTGTTATTTGTAACTGCAAACCCAAATCCTACTTTCCATTGCATCTCCTCCTTTTCTAGTTTTTAATAACATCTATTCCCAAGTTATACTTTCTGTCTGCAATGCTCTCTTTTACCCTACATTTACTAAGTTCTCTCCATTCTCTACTCAAAACAACTTCTGAAATGACTGGATTATTTGCCTCTGCTCTTTACATTGCTGATTGTTTTTCATCCTCCAGATCTCAGCTAAAACATCTTCTTAGAGAAGCCCCTTCTCTGATCACTGATCTAAGTATATTCCTTCATGATTTCTTTTTATGAAACCATAATTTGTGACTTTACATTTGTTTACTTACTCATATATCTTTGTTTTCTCCACTAATCTATTACCCTCATGAAGATGAGGGTACTGCTTCAATAGGTGATCAACAGTTTTGGTGTTTTATAAATATTTTTTTAGTTATTGATGGACCTTTATTTTATTCATTTGTATATATGCGATGCTGAGAATCAAACTCAGTGCCTCACACATGTGAGGCAAGTGCTCTACCACTGAGCCCAAGCCCCAGCCCATGATCAACAGATTTTAATGTAAATGTTGTATAATATGAATAAGCAGAAAAATGCCCCAATTATAAGTGTGTGGCTAGATAACTTCTCACAAAATGAACACATCAATAAAAACATCATGCAAGGCCAAGATTAAGAGCCCCAAATTCTCCTCACACTCCCTCCAATGACAGCCTTCTGCTCCTGAAAAGTAATCCTAACTTCTAATATCACAGGTTAGTGTTGTCACTGAACTTTACATGAATGGACCCATAAAGTATAGACCCTCTTGCCAGTGACTGTGAGATTCACCTATGTTGTTGTATGTAGTTAGTTTTTTCTTTTCCACTGCTTGGGAGCAGCACTATACAAAGTGTGGTACTGGTCCACACCCTGTTTGTCACTCATCTTCAAAGTCATGAATACAGAAGGTATCACAGGAACATTTATAAACTTTTCGAGCATTTGGACATTGTGTGTAATACTGGATCATACAAGACTTTCATTCTGACAGCTAGGGAAAAAAATCTTGTCCCTCCACCACAGATGGGTTAAGAAAGCAATGCTATACCGTGTTCTAGTGTATAAATGTATTATCATTAACTTATCTATCCTACTCTTTAAAAAAATATTTTTAGTTGTAGATTGACAACAATACCTTTATTTTGTTTACTTAGTGTTTTTTTTTTTTTTAATGTGGTGCTGGGGATTGAACCCAGTGCCTCATGCATGCTAGGCAAGAGTTCTACTACTGAGCTACAGCCCCAGCTCCAACCTACTCTTGATGACACTTGAACTGTTGAATGTTTGGGGGGTATTCTAACAAGTGCTGCAATAAACATGCTTTTTACATGTCATCTGGAATGCACGTGTATACTCCAGGAAAAGGGATACTGAGTCACAGGGAACACACATACATCAAGCTTTATAAGGTACTGTCAATGTTTTAACCTATTCTTATAATAGTTTCTTTATAATTTCATTGATACTGAATATTGTCAGCTTTTTAAACTTTAGTCACTCTCATGGATATGTAGGTTATTTTTTGTTTTAATTTGCATTTTCATGATGACTAATAAAACTGAACATCTATTTTTATTGTATGTCTTATGTTTATTTGGTCATTTGGAAAGCTTGTTTTGAAAGTTCCTATATAAATCTTTTGCCTATTTTTCTATTGTGTTGACTGATTTATCGTTATGGATTTGTAAGACTTTCTAATGAGTTCTGAATATTTTATTGTAAATATGTGCTGCAAATATCTTGTCCCACTTAGTGGGCTGCCATTTTCCTTTCTTTTTCTAAGGTACTCATTTTAATGAAGGACAATTTTTTCCTTTAGATATGATCCATATTGTATTCCATTTTATTTGGAAATATTTGCTTATTTAAGAAATGTTTGGCTAGGCATGATGGTACATGCCTATAACCCCAGCAACTCAGAAGACTGAGGCAGGAGGATCGCAAGTTCAAGGCCAACCTCAGTAACTTAGCAGGACCCTGTCTCAAATTTTTAAAAATAATAAAGTAAAGAGGGCTGGGGATGCAGCTTTGTGGTAGAATGCCCCTAGGTTCAATCTCCAGTACTACACAATAAAAGAAAGGTTTAACTTATTGAGATAAAGTCACAGCAGTAAACTTTTAGAAGCCATATTATTTTATCCTGTGTATTTAGATCTCTTACATAACTCAACTTCTCTTTTGGGGTATACAGTATAAGGTAAGGATTCAAAACTGTTTTTTTCCATACAAATGATCCAATACTATTTGTGAAAAACCCCACTGTACTTCCATGTCACCTGTATCATAAACCAGTTGACTACAGATATGCAGGTTTATTTCTAGATTTTTATTCTATTCCATCAGTCAATGTCTCAATAAATAACTGTTAAAGCAATGCTATTATTTAAGAAATCTTACTTAACAAAAGTTATTGTGGTCACTACTTCCCACTGTTGGTTACTCTGCTGTGTGACTTTCCTCAATGTTCCAATCTTTGATGTCCTCATCTCTTAAGTGGGGTTAATAATGCTGCTCCCAAGAATACCAAAAGGACTGAATGTGATTGCTCTTATAAAACAGTATATAATCACAGCTTTTACAACTGTTATTTACTTGCTTCATGATTTAGTTTTTGTATCTTTAGGATATCAACATTTGCTTCTCTAAAATGATATCACTTCCAAAAGTTGAGGGGAAAAATCCCTTAGAACAAAGAGCAGAGGAAGAAAAAGTGAGAAAGTAGGTTTGGTTGTAATAGTGGAAATTAAAATCAGATAACATTAAAAGCAAGATAAAAATTATGAAATTCTTTGGAATTTCTTTACAAAGGCTTTGCTTCTTAGTTACGGATTCCATTATTATATGAAATCTTTTTCCCCCTCCTTTGCAAACTGTGGAAGATTTCATTTTATTTAGAAAAAAATATCCATTTTCTCCTATCTTTTTATTCAAACTTTAACCTTTCTAATCAATGCCAGAGAAAAAGCCCAAAGATCCAGAATATACAGCACCTGAAGCTGCTGTGCACTGCTGAAGTGATTATTGTTTTTAAGCATACAGAAAATATAGAAAATAATAATATATAATATTACAAACAGCTTGCTTTATTTTGAATGTTCCCTCCAAACTTCATATTGAAATCTAGTTTTCATTTAACTGTACTGGGTGGGTAGGATCTTTAAGAAACGTTTAGGTCATGTATGAATGGATTCATGCTATTATAATGGGAGTGGGTTAGGATAAATTCTGGTGAGTCCTAGCACTCTTATATGTTCACAGGTTCTCTCATGCACACACACATGCATGCTCTTTCACCATATGATGCCGTAGCAAAAAGACCTCACTAGTTATGATCCCTGAATCTTGGACTTCATATAGACTCCAAAGCCATGAGCAAAATAAACCTCTATTATTTATAAATTATCAGACTGTGGTATTCTGTGATAGCAACAGAAAATGTACCAAGACAGAACCACACAACCACTTGTGTAGAGTTTTTTGGGGCAGGGGAAGTAGCAATTGGAAATTGAACCCAGGATTGCTTTGCCACTGAGCTATACCTCCAGCTCTTTCTATTATTTTGAGATGAGGGTTTCACTAAGTTGCTGAGGCTGACCTTCAATTTGTGATCCTCCTGCCTCAGCCTACAGAACTGCCAGGATTACAGGTGTGTGCTATCATGTCCGGCTCCACCTGTGTTTACATGACTAATTTCTCTACTAGGTTTTTACTGCCTTGAAGACAGTGATGTTTTACCTTGCATTCTGTGTGTCTAACATAAAAGATGGCACGAACTGGATACTTAATGTTTGTTGAAAAATTTTTTCAACAAGAAAAAACTGCACAGCCTGAAGCTTTATTTTTAAGTAATATCCTATCCTTTCCTACATTTCCTTCAAAGTCTCTAAATAATGAGGGAACTAACCTCTTCTGTTACAGTGTGACATTCTCAAGTAACTTCTGTGAGCATTCACTGTTTTATCTCATTCAAACAGCATCTTTTGACTCCTTAAAAACATGTATTTTTGTTTGCACTTAGTTATCTGGCTCTATCAAGTCTACTGGTCCTTGTACTTCCTTATTACCCTGCATTGATACTTTATGTAGTACACATTTCCCAGACAGGGAAATGTGCACTACATAAAGGACCCATAGATTAACATGCTCTCCTCCATCAATAGAGATTTAGGAAAATGTTGAAGCAGGAAGAAGACAAGGCCATTTCAATTAACTTTTCTACAGCTAACTTTATGTCCTGCTAAAGGAATCATTCAACCTTTTCAAATATACTATCTCTAGGAAAGGGAGAGAAAGAGAGGAGACAAGGAGTAGGTAGGGAGGGAGGGAGACTCTGTCTCTACACAAGGAAATAAAGCCAGCTACATTTCCCATGAAAAGGAAATCTCCAAATTAATCTGCTGATGGTATCAACAGGCAGGCAGGAATTCAACATTGAGGCCTAAATCTGAAATGCACAAATGGCAATAATTTGCTAAACCTCACGAAACATCTAGTCCTTCATTTTCTGTTTTTTTGTGAACTATAAATGAAGGAAGTCATAAAAATACTTGCTAAAACAGTTAAAACCAAAACCAAATGTCTGTATTTTTCTATAACTGTTAGGCTAAGAAACTGTGAAACAGGCAAAAAACTACAGAAGTAAAATAAATGCCTAGCATTTGGAAAGGTATATTCAGCACCCTTCTTTTGAAGTCAGTTGGGCAATAGCTATCAATCAAAAAAACCTGAAAAATTTGAAATGCTCTGGCCCATCAATTTCAGGTTATTTACTAAAACTTTTATAACCAGAGAATTTACTATATTGATATTTAAAATAGCAAGCAATTATGATTTAAGTGCCTCCAAACAGGATTTGTCAAAGGTTGAGAATCCTTATGAAGGAATATTCATAAATATTTTTGTATTTATACTTAATAGTATTCTTTGTGGGGGGGTGGGAGGGTTTACTGGGGATTGAACTCAGGAGCATTTAACCACTGAACCACATCCCCAGTTCTATTTTGCATTTTTTTTTTAGAGACAGGGTCTCACTGAGTTGCTTAGCACCTCACGTTTGCTGAGGCTTACTTTTGAACTTGCGATCCTCCTGTCTCAGCCTCCTGAGCTGCTGGGATTACAGGCGTGTGCCACCATGCCAGGGTGAAGTATTCTACATACACACAAGTATTTGTATGTATTCTTTCATAAGGATTTATCATCTTCAACAAATAGGAGTTACAAAGTAGTTGTCAAAGTTTTGGGGCTTTTTGCAGAACTCTTTTTTATCCTCCAAATGAAATCTTAATTACAAACCTAAATTAAAACAACAGCAATAGCAACAACAATAGCAACAACAATCAAAGGTGCTGTTTTATAAAGTGGAAGTGGGGAACTTGGGATACCACCCACCCACCCCTAGAGGATACTCCTAGGAACCTCCCAGCTTCAAGAAACGCATTTTTGAAAACTAATACTCTGTGTAAGTGTGTGGGGAGTTACTGGGGATCAAACCCATGGCCTCACCCATGCCCAGTAAGCGCTCTCCACAGAGTTAACACCCCCAGAGTTGAAAACTAGTAACTAGTCTTCAAGAACATTGGTTGTGCAACAAAGATGAAAATAATAAAATGATTACATTTTGTGTGTGTATGTGAATATATATAGAGAGAGAAATATATAGACAGAAATATATATTTCTATTTATATATTACATAATGGAGAATAGTTAGAAAGATACACATCAAAATGCAAACAGTGCTTATCTTCTCAGGGGTGAGTTTTCAGATAGTTTGTATTTTCTTGCTTCTATGTTTTTTTTTCTAGATCCTCTACAATGAGCCTCTAGTTATTTTTAAAGTTAGATTCTTTTGATTAATAAGTTTTTCATATTCCTTTATTTCAGTTGGTGTTTTAAAGTGTTAACTAGTGTTTGGGTGCTTGCTCAAAGTAAAACACTTCAGCTGACAAACTAAGGAGATCTTGAAACCCAGTAAACAGATTCTTAGTAGTAAGTCTCTCTGCCCTGATTAGAGGTTTCTTTGAACTAAATTGTGACTATCCTCCTAAAAACTCCTGTTTTGGTTTCTGTGGTCTTTTCACATGCTACACAATTTCTAGGAACCATTCATCCCTCTATTCTTCAGATGGCTGAATCATTCTCAATCTTCAGATCTCAGAAAAGACTTTCAGAGTCTTCTGTAACTATATTATATATTGTCAATCACTGCATTGTTCTCTCATAGCAAATAACACAATTTTAATTATGTAATTTTTTTACTGATTTATCACCTATTTCACCCACAAAATGGAGGTTTCATGAACAATGCCTGTTATCTGCCAATACATTATATAATGCCCAGTGTAATGTCTAGTAATTATCCATAAATATTTGGACAATGATAAATGATAAATGTTTGCTAAGAGCTGAATTTGGAGACTCATGAAGACATTCTTTTCTAAATGGTTGGCAAAGATCCTATTTTCAATACTATTTATATTTCTGAAAACTTCAATAATAGCCAAAAGTCATGCTGATTTTGCACATTTTGTAATGGCTGTATCAACTGATCCAGACTCAAACAGGTAGTAGGAGGTCTGAGATACTTAATCTTGGAATACTGGTCCTTTATCAGTATATACTTTTATTTTGGAGAAAAACCATTCTATAACACAGAATAAGTATACGCTACTTCAACATTTTCTAAAGTTCCTTCCAGTCCCTCTGTTACTTATAACTAAAGCACACTAATAAGGGCTAATCTTAATTTACTAATTTTCATTACATGTCATCCCACATATCTACTGATGTGCAGCCACTAAATTATAAAGTGTTTTTGTCAGGAATCTGAACACTGTGAGCTACTATTTTAGGTATAACTTAAAATAATAGGGACTCCAACAATGACAAACCAACAGTCTTGGAGTATCTCTTACAACTAAATGAAGAACTTAAAAACACCAAAACAAACAGTGTAAGAAAAATAACCATAGGAGGTACCAAATAAGCATAGAGACATAACATTTCAAATACTTCTAAATATTTGGTTTCAAAGCATAAATGGAGCATGTGGGCTTTCCACGTCTTTTCCTGCCAACTCTCAGGAAAACACTGACCATGCTACAGTCATCTAAAACAGCTGTTAGGACTGATCTTCAAATATTTGGTTTCAAAATACAGACCTATCTGCATTTTAAAACTCATGCCTGCATACTCTCGCTACAGCACTACATTGAGATAATCCTTTTAAAGTAGTTTTCTGGCAAATACAGATTTCACTAGTCATTTATGGTTAAAGAGAGAGAAAATGTGAAATGTCTGGATTTTAGAAGAAAGGAATAGTTTATGTCCATTTTACTTAAAATTGTTGATTTCCTTAAGCCCAGTTTCACTGTTAGCATATTGTTCTTGTGGGTATTCAAATATAAACTACCAAATCTGCCTCATTTTGGTTTGCTGGAAGGCCCAAGCCTCAGAAGACTCTTAATCTAGAAATAAGTTAAGTGGTTTGAAACAACCTTTCTCATCCCCTTGTGTAATTATGTTTGTTTTCTAGAATTATGTATAAGCATGGATATCTCTACTTTGTAGTCCTGTATTTTTGACAGTTATCTTACACTACACAGGAACACCTAGGAGAATGGGCTAATAGGTATACATACACATAGGATTTTTTCTTCTGAGCTGACATCAAAGACTGATCAGTTTTAATTGACTGGCATATTATCTGAGCTTTTAAGGTGGCAGCCATCAAAAATACCTATACCTTTATTAACTGCCTTGTTTTATTTCCCTTTAAATCTTATCTTGTTCATGAAAAAGACTCTGAAAAAGACAGTGATAGTACAAGTCAGAAAACTATATTTGGCATCTTACAAAACAGTAGTTCATCTCCACCCCATTCTTCCAACAGGTATTATTACACAAATGGAAAGAATAAGATTTAGTAATGGTTAAGAAATATCACAGTTCATACAACTGTTTCATGGAGGAACTGGTAACTTTTTCCATTTTCCAATTTAGCATGCTTCCCTTGCAGACAGCTATAAGAACATACCAGACAATTAAACTCCAGGTAGATAAGAATACCATTCTCAACCTTACCTCTTTATGCACCTTCCAACTGTCTACTGTCACATTGAAGAGAGCTTTGAGGGCCTCAATGGCACAGTCTGTCTCCTGAGGTGAGAGAGGAGGTCCATTATGATCTATGGCCGATTCATACTCATCGGTCCACTTGATGCTAAAGGCACTTTCCAAGATCTGGGTTAGCAGCGGTAGTCCCTGGAGCTCATAGCGCAATTGTGACCTGATGTCAGTGTGCAAAAGTGACAGGAGAAAGAGCAAGCGCAAGTCAAAGCACTTAATGTCATTGATAAATTTTCGGTCCTTGCACTTTCTCAGGAGGTTACAGAGCTTTGCAGCAAGATTAAGTTCCAGGCTGAGCTGCTGTGCCATCTGACTGTTGAACACTATGTTACATAGACACTTTAATGATTCCACAATAACTGGGAACTCTGACACCTTCTCCAAAGAATCATCCGACTCAGTTAGCTTGGCTAGTCTCAGCAATATCTGCATGTTTTCCTTGGTTGTTACAGGAACTAAAATCTTTTTGTCTCTGGAGAGAATGCGGAGTACTTCCAGGCAGGACACTTGACATGTTGTTGGGACGTCCTTTACAAGGACTTTAAATATGCCTTCACACAGTTTCTGAAAAACAAGAGAGTATGCAAAAACCATTATGTGATTTTCAACATCAGACTAAACAGCATCAGGTTTGAAGGCAGTCTGAATCATAGCTATTCCCTCCTCAGAAATAAAGATTAAGAACTAGTTCACAATTGCCCATAATACATGCTCTTTTTTGTAAAATAACTGAAGGAGATAAGCATTTCTGCCAATGTTTAGTTGTGCTCTTTCTTCTAAATATTTCTTAATATTTCTTCCATGGCAGTTATCCCAAGTGTCCCTCTTCTTTAGCTAAAATCTAATAATACTTACTCATCAAATGACCCAGAGAAGTACTTTTGCTGACAAAAACTGATAAAAGTTATTCCAAATATGGGGTTCCAAAGAGGGTTCAGCTAGCATATATTATGTTTTGAACCAATTGTAAAAAAAAAGGTGACCCCCCTAGGCAGACTAGATGCTAAAAAGGTTCCCTCTAGATGGGCAAACTAGGAAAAAGTCTCTCTTCCTCTGGGCAGCCCTGTGCTAAGACATTGTTTGGGAAGCTCTGAGAAGATAGAATCTTAATTCTCCTTTGTTGCCTTGGTGTAGGGTGCAGATTGTAACAGTAACAGTAATAAGTAGCAGTGGTGGATCCAAATTTTGCTAATATCATCTCAAAAACAATTCTTTTAGGATGAACCCAAAGTATACTCAATCTTATTTGTGTGAAAATATACTATTGTCAAATTTAAAAATCACAGATCATTCCCTCCAAATTCAATGTAAGCTTTCTCTTACCCTTATATGTGGACCAAACAAGTACACTCATTTCATTGCTGGATACTACTATACACCCTTACATTTTATAAAAACAACAATTACCAATATAAGATATTAACTTACTGTCAGACTTAAATCCTTGAAAAAGAGGTTACCTGGGGTCAAACATAATCTTGGCAAGAATCCCAGACTATGTGCAACTTCTCAGTATATACTGGTCATACAGCTATGGAAATACTAATTTAAATGAAAATATTTTCTCTAAACAGAGATGGAAATGACCCTTACCTGACAAGCTAAAAAAAATTCATAAAATGACAACTTTATCTTGTCATATCTGATAACTAAAGTGACTTTCTTTTAGTGTTTTAATGTCAATGTTACAGCAGGAATTTTTTTTTTACTTATTTATTTATTTTTTTGCTTTTGTACTGGGATTGAACCCAGGGTACTTTACCACTGAACTGCATCCCCAATTCTTTTTACTTTTTGATGTTAAGATAGGATCTTGCCAAGTTGCTGAGACTGGCCTTGAACTTGGGATCCTCCTATCTCAGCCTCCTGAGTTGCTAGGATTACAAATGTGTACCACTATGCCTGGCAGGAATACCCACAGAAATTAAAATCAGCATGCAATAATGACACTAGCCACATCAAGTTTAAGGCCAGTCTAGGCAATTTTGCAAGGCCTTGTCTCAAAATTAAAAATAAGGGTTGGGGATGTAACTCAGTAGTAGAGCACCACTTGTTTCAATCCCCTTTATCATGATCCCCTCTATCATCCCTTTTAGGGATACAAATAGAAGGAAAAAAGTCAAATAATCACCATTTGCAGATCATTTGATAATGTATTTAGAAAATCCAAAAAATCTGACCAGAAAACTACAGAACTAATTAATTCAGCCTAGTAGCAATATACTAAATCAACATAGAACAAACAGAAGAATCACCTAAGAATAAATCTAACCAAGAAAATATCTCTACAATGAAAATTATAAAACACTGAAAAAAGAAATTGAAGAAGATATTAGAAGATGAAAAGACCACCCCTGTTCATGGATAGGCAGACTTAATATTGTTAAAATGACCATATTACCAAAATGAATTTAAAGAGTCAATCAATTCCTGTGAAAATACCAAAGATATTCTTCACAGAACTAGAACAAATAGTTACAAAATCCATATGGAAGAATAAAAGACCCATAATAGTCAAAGCAACTATAAGCAAAAGGCTGGAGGCATCGCAATACTAATTTTTAAATTATACTACAGAACTACAGTAACAAAAATAGCATAGTACTGGCATAAAAATGGACACACAGATCAATGGAATAGAACAAAAGTCATGGAAACCAACTAAAAACAAAGATACAATCATGTGATCCTTGATAAAGACGCCAAAAACATTCAATGGAAAAAAGGCAGCCTTTTTAACAAATGGTGCTAGCAAACTGGATATCCGTATGTAGAAGAATAAAACTAGATCCCTATCTCTTGCTCTGCACAAAAGTCAACTCAAAATGGATCAAAGACCTAGGAATTAGCCTAGAAATTTTCCAACAGCTAGAAGAAGACATAGGGTTAATATCTAACATAAAGGCAAAGGCAATTACTTCCTCAATAGGATTCCTAAAACTCAAGAAATAATTCTCAAGAACAGCAAAGGAAACAAGAGCATGAACAGGAGCCTACAGAAGGGGAGAACATCTTTGTCAGCTACTCTTCTGATATAAAATTAATATCCAGAATAAATAAATAAATAAATAAAATTCAATCAACAGGCAAATGAAACAGACATTTATCAAAAGAAGAAATACAAATGACTAAAAAATACACTAAAAAAAGTTCAATATCTTTAGTAATCAGAGAAATGTAAATCAAAACCACAAGGTGAGAATATAGGATGAAAAACAGAACAAAACTCACAACAAAGATACAAAGGGTTAGAAAAAGGGTTAGTTGGGGGGAAATGGGGAGAACTGTGAACTAAAATCAAATTCTACACACGTACGATTTTGTTTGGATGAACCCAACTACTATGTATAACTGTAAAGCTCTAATAATATATATATGATGTGTGTGTGTGCGTTTATTAGAGCTTTACATATATATATATGTATGACTTCATATATATATATATACATATATATATGTATATATATATATATATGAATATATATGACTTCATCTCACCCTGTTAGAATGAAAATCACCAAGAATACAAATATCCATAAATGCTAGTGAGGATTTGGGGAGGAAAGAAACACTTAATAATACACTGTTGGTGGGATTGTAAATTAGTACAACCATTACGAAAATTAATAAGGAGGTTCCTCAAAGGAACTACCGTATAACCCAGCTACACTACTCCTCAGTATTTATCTAAAAGAATTTGAGTCAGCCTGCTAAAAGCAATCTATGCATTCCCATGCTTACAGCAGTGCAACTCACAATAGCCATGTTATGGAACCAGCCTAGATAACCATCAACAACTGACTAAATAAAGAAAATGTGATACAATGAGTTTTATATAACCATAAAGAAAAATGAAATTATGTTATTTGCAGGAAAATGGATAGAAGTTGAGAGCATTATGTCAAGTGAAATAAACCAGACTCAAAAAGTCAAAAATTATGTTTTCTCTCATATGGAAAAGTTAGAGAAAAAGAAAAAAATCAAGGTGAGACTTCATAAAAATATAAGGAAGACCAGTGGAGTAGAAGAAGGGAACCAGGGGGAGGAAGGAGGAGAGGAAAATGGGAGGTACTAGGGAATGGGATTGACCAAATTATGTTATATGCATGTACAAATGTGTCATAAAACCACTATTACGTATAATTATAATATACCAATAAAATTAATAAAAAATAAGAAAAAGCTCTTTTTACATGTCTGTTAGCTTAGTAAGGTATGGTTATTTCTATAAAGTCATGCTACAAGACCTACATTAGAAACTTAAATAAAAAATCCCAAGCAGTTTCCCAGTGCCAGTACCTAGGGTTGCCAAAAACATTTTCAGCAGTCTGTGCCTGAACTGAGACCCTAGAGTAGTCTATGGTAATTCTCAAATTTCACCATGCATCATACTTACCTAAAGGGCTCATCACACAGATTATTTCACCTACCCCGAAGTTCTGATTCAATAGGTAAAGGGTGAGACTCCAGAACTGAAACTTTAAACAAGTTTTCAGTTGACGCTGCTGCTGGTAGTGATCCAGAAGCCACACTGAGAACTACTGTATTATGGTTAGCAACAGACTGACATAACTTGGATGTCAGGGGTAAGGGTTAGCTGAGGGTAACTGACTAGAAGTATATTAGAACGATAGGCAAAGTTGAAGGCCATTAGCACAAACACCTTAACTTCTTCACTACCCTGTGCTGAAGATGTACAAGGGTGGCAGGGATGGGAATGGAATGTCATCATCTGGTCACAATGCCTTTTTCAAATATTAAAAACTACCAGAGACATGAAGCACATTATTTGTTAAAGGTTGGTCCTGGGCTTAAAACGTATTCATCCTACCATGGCCCCTAGAGCAAAAACAGTGTGGTAATTAAGAGAAGAGGTTCTGGGTTCAAACTGCTTACATTCAATCTTGGCTCTTCTACTTATTAATACGCATGGCAAGTTACTTAGTTTCTCTGGACCTCATTAACTGTAAGAATCAAATGAGATCACACATTTACAGCATTTAGGACAGTGCCAAGCATGCAAAGAATGTTCAGTACAGGTTATCTAAGATAAATTCTCAAAGTCCTCAGCTTGGCATTTAATATTCCCTAATGAGCTCTTTTTCCAGTCTTTATTCATTCATACTATTCCTATCAAACCATCTTCTAGGTACTTACCTGTCCAAACTACTCACACTGAACCCGTCTGCTTTCTTATCACTTGCTTCTACATGCATCAATCCTTTTTCTTCTCTGGTTATATAGGTTTCAAATATTTAATACACTTTCAATATAAAGTTTTTCATAACCACTTCAGACCTCAACATACTTCCTTTACAAGCAATATCCAAACCACAATTTGCAGCAATCATTTTGGGCTTAGCACATCTGTCCTGTTGATTTTCCTTCTGAGTTTGCTTCAACTACTAAAAGCTCTCTGAAAGTAGAAATGACATCTCTTTTTATGAAATAAATGCACTGCAGTGGCTTCTGAATCAGAAAGACCTGGGTTTAATACCTGTTTTGTTTTTTGCAAGTTATACAATTTAGATGTTATTAATGTCTCTGAGCTTCAGTTTTCCCTT